CCCAGAATAAGAAATCCAACATCCAAAAACAGAGATCTCTGGACCAGGTGCCTCCTTGGTTGATAATGTGCCACAACCGTAGAATTGTCAGAATGAACCATCACCAGACAATGCCAGGCGAGAAGAAGGAAGTGATGCAATGCCTGACATATGGCTAGAAGTTCAAGGACATTGATATGCAAAGCGCTTTTGTCTGTGGACAAATGGCCTAAAGCCTCCTGGTGACTGACCCATGCTGATGGGTCTGTGAAAAGATGTAGATCTGGATGCAGAGGAGGAAGCGGCATGCCTGCTGATGTATGGGCTTTGTCCAACTTCCAAAGCGGATCGTCCCGCACGGAAAAAGGAAGGGAAATGGGGGTGGAAAGTGAATCCTGAGCAAGAATCCATCAATCATGAAGTGTTCACTGAAGGGTTCTCATATGGGCACGACCAAGAGGGACCAGTGATGTCACTGATGACCACATCCCCAAAGGCAACAGAACCCCAAGAGCAGTAAGTGAGGAAACTGATATGGTGTGGCACTAACAAGTCCATAGAACAAAATCGGACAGGAGAAGGCTGGGCTCGACTGATATGAGTATTTAAAAAGACCCCCCAAAAGTATGAGATAGTGATGATGTCTGAGGAAGGACTTCTCCAGTTTTATTAACCAGCCCACTCAAGCAGCCACATAAGAGAGGTGCTGAGTATGGCTGGCTGACTCTGGTTCGGAATGAGCCAGTTATCCATGTAAGAGAGAAACTCAATCCCAGAACATGAAGATGTTGAGCAAATGCTCAGACTATCTGACAGAAAACATAAGGGGCCGAAGTAAACCCAAATGTTAGTGCATGAGATTGATAAACCACCCCGAGATGGACAAATCAAAGATAAGGGCAGGACTGAGGTGATATATGTATATGGGGATACACCTTGGCGAGATTAATAAACCTGGTAAAAATGCCTACCTCCGGGTAAGAATAGACTCCTTGGTAATCAGGGGTAGATGAATGAAGCTGCTAAGGTGAGATAAATGTATGACTGACCTCTGGTACCTGTTGAAGTATGCAGAACTGGTTTGATGACTGCTGAGAAAGTAATTCCCGAACCACTTTAGATGTACACTGACTGGTCACAGGATTCTGAGGAGGAGGGAAGGAAACACAGAAGGTGGAGAAAAGAAAGGGAAATCATGAATCCCTCTGACAAAACCTGAAGAACTCATGATCCTCAACGAAGGAACCCCAGTGATAAGAAATCTGCAAACCAAGATCCCATCAAACCAGAATGCACTGGGTAGTTACCAATACTAGTGGCAACTTGAGGTGTGTCATTGAAAAACAAAAACAATGAGAAGATTCACCCCAAGGAGAAGGAACAGGTAAGGGTTGGGAAGGGGAAGGACAGGAAATGATAATAGGAGGCATATGGGGCTCTGACTGAGACAAACGTGCAACAATATTGGTAAGGGTAGATTGTTATTGGACTGATGCTACCCTTGACATTATTGTTTCTTGGATCATGTCAAAAACATATCACCACAGAAATGGGGCCATATGTAAATTCTGAAGCTAAGTCAACAGTAAACGGACCTGAGCCAAATCTGCATCATGACCTAAAAGGTCCAACAGAGAAACCATTATGTTAAGCCAGAGCTGAAGATGACAAACGAGCCAGTACAGAGGAAAGAAGGGGAAGAATGTCCCTTGAAAACCCCTCAGGAATTCCGTGGAAAGCCGCAGAGAGGAGGGATACCGTAAATGTTGTAAAGGTAAGACACAGATGAGAATTCTTGACATGGGTTAGACTGACAGGTGATTCAGGACACCACCCCCCAAACAGGCAAAATGGAACCTAACAATTGTTGGTACAAAAAATGGACAGTCAGCATGATGGTCAGAAAGCATGAACTGATCTGAAACCCATGGGGTGTAAGGCATGCTAAACTAATTTCTTAATTGTGAAGTACATTAATCAGCATGAACCCGAATATTAGGGGAGGAAAGAAAACAAAAAGGGTAGGAAGATTGGTCATGTGGTAAAGAATGACTTGGCTCATAAGTAATAGGAGAATGGGATAAAACATCACATATCTTAGAGACAAATCCAAATAGATGGAGTTAGGCCTAACTGATCTTTCAGACAGGGAATGGGAAAGTACAGTAAAATCAGGAGACAGAAATAGAGGCCCATGTATCGTTCAATCTCCCAGTGGATAAATGCAGAAAATCCACCGCTGAATCACCTGCAACTGAGTCCTGAGAAATAAAGCAAGTCGCTGGTGTGACCCCATATTGGGAATAAGAACTCTGGAATTCGTTGTGAATATGAGTTCACCAAATTTAAGCTGTGAAAAAGAATAATGTGATGAAAAGTAACTGATAGAATTTGTTAAATTGAAGAAACAGTCATAATGAAAACTAAATAAATTAAAGAAAACCATTTCATGAGGAAACTTAAGCAGAACGTGAATCTTTAAACAAACAAAAGCACGTCCGAACACAAGTGCTGCCAAACAAGAAGTGATAGTTCGGTAGAGGAGTGTAGAAGGAGTCACATGCGTCACGTGAGCATGTCATGCTCCTATTGGTGAGAAGGTGATGCATAATGATTTGTATGAGAGACATGTTGGAATTTTGTAATTCCAAAAGGGGAGAGCAGAAGGCTTGTGGCATGCGTAAAGAAAAGTTTGCATGTAGAGGGCAGCACTGAACGAGTATAGTTAACCTTGTGAGAGGAGGTAAATACTGTATTGGGAAAATGGGCACATTACAATCTTTCTATTATTAAGTTAGTTTATTTGAAAATTATTATTATTTTATTAATTTGAATTTTGGAAGTTTGTATTAAAAATGTATAATTGACATGCATAATGTATAGTGTACGTTAACAAATGATAGTTCAATAAACTACTGAATGTTACAAAGAAATGTAATACTCATAAATTAATAAAATTACTAAGTTGCTTGTGTATTTTAATTACGTCAATTTGGCCAACTTTTTATTAGAAACAGGTGCTTAAGCTTTATAACCCATATGCCTTATGGAAAGTAAATATTCCATAATAAGGAAAATAAATACAATTTTCTAAAAGAACATTTACGAAAGTAAAAACAAAAAAAACTAAAAGTAATTTCATTTCTGATTTGACAATAGATGAAAAACATTCTCTATTTTGTTAATTGTATGCTACAGTACAATATAATAATGTTTAATGATAAAAAATATGGGAAAAAAAACCTACCTATCTACCCTAATTTTTCCTGTCACTGTTACCACAAACACAATTTTTTTGTGTCTAATATGCAATGAAAAGCAGATTAAAAGATAAAGATGTGTAGAACTGACATTTTGCTGATTCAAAATAATAAACTGTTGGCTCACTTTACACTAGAATATTATTATGTACTAATTTTATACCCAGGATAATCTTATTATCCTCTACCTCTAACAAATGAAGTGGTACATGCTGTTAAGTTCATCACTTTGTCAGTGAAGATGCACCTAAAGTATCCATGTACTTAATTGCCTAAATGTAGTTGTGTACATTCTGTTCATTACCACTTGACTGAATGCCTCATTATAGCTGTTCATCTGAAAATGCAAACTTAATCCTGAAAACTAAGTGCATTTAACTTATTTTAACCTGAACCTACTAGTAATCTTACTTAATCACTTATATCTAGTATTTTCTGATTTACAATCAATTTCAGCTTATTTTCATCATGATTTTGTGGGAAAGTTTCTAGTCAGAGTTCCTGTAGCATAGTTTGAAGGCATGCAATGAGATGTTTTGAAGACTTAGGAGCAAACAACAGAGTTGACAATTTTTTAAGGCCAGTTTAAATGTTCTTGTCATTTGTAAAAGCATTTGTATGTTAAATTATATCTGTTTAAAGTTACATAAAAATTCCTTTGATAAGACGACATCAGAGAAGCTCAGATTTAGTAAGATGGGTAACAGCAAAATATTCTGATGATTCAAATCCTTATTTATTTAATGTTTTATACTTATTCTATTCAAACAAGGTACATTAATTAAATTGGCTAGCTGGTTACTAAATTATTTCTAATTGCAATCATGATATGTCTTAAATAAAAGCATTACCATTACCAATGATAGTAAAACATGTTTTCATTATTTGATTATCAATATATTTGATTAACACAATATCAATGTGTGAAACATTTTGTATTTAAAAAAAAAATTGAATGTTAACTGCATAGTCTTCTCAACATTATGGGTTCACTAAGTAGTAAATAATAAGATTATATTTACAAGAAAGTTTGTGCAAAAAAAGTTTTTACAAGGTGTACAAATGGCAATCACCAGTAGATGTCTATCACATTAAATGAAGAGCATTTTAAAATCACTTTAAAGAAATACCAAAAAATAGCTGTAAATAAGAAGATTAATCGGTGCTACTATAGCCTGAGGTCTACCACACTATCGCGTGAGGTCTACCTCCCGTTAGTACTATAGCGTGAGGTCTACCGCTGCATTATCCATCCCTCATGGATATCACACATTTCCATACATTTATTTTAACGATAAACACTTATTTGATACATTTTTATACATGTTTGATAGACCTGGGTAGGCGACATATGGCGGTAGACCTCACGCTATAGTAGCACCGATTAATCTCCTGTGAGAATAATCAATTAATATGTCTAACAGTTAATTGATAACAAATCCCACTAATTGCTCAGCTCTATGTTCTATTGCTAAGTCTTTTATAGAATAGAAAATTTAGTAATAAAATAGTTATACGTAGTATTACTAATATGTTTTAATCTACAGTAAGTTAATTTTATTTAAAAAATACATGTATATCTTTTTAGAGCTGACAAAATATAATCACTTTAAATAAATGCATACACCATTTATTTCTTATTCAGATGCAATTGAAAACTGGCTTACTATGACAGTCATAAGCTTAATTTGTATGATTATTAGGGATACATTGAAACTTGTAAATTAAAAATATGTAAGCTAGTATAAAAACCTCAGTTACCTTTATGATAGATTTCTGTGTGGCACACAAGAAAACTTGAAGAGATAAACAATTTGTTACAGACTTCACACTTGAAAGGCTCTGATGGATTCCCACACAAATCTCTGGTCTTATCTTTGTCATCAGAAATTGGCTCATTGGTAGATGTTTGTGTTTCACTTGACGAAAAGTCTTCCACTAAAGTTGCCATTTTCAGATTTCTTAACTGTTTATGTACACCAGAGTACAGAATTTTGATGAAATAAAGTAAAAGGCAACCATTTCTACATTGGTCCTAAAAAAATTATCATATGTATAACAGCATTATACTTTATCTGTATAGAATTTCTATTGTAGCATTTTTCTCAAAGGTATTTCACTGGATGATAGCTTAAAAGTATTAACTGTTAACAAAAACCACAACAAACATGGGAACATTAGTAAACATGACAAAGACTTATTATGGTCTGTTAAATCTGTACACACAGTTACTACGACTAAGAGAGTGGTGCATTCTTATCATATATATATTGTTCGAATATTTTCAAACTTATCTACATTAAATTCAACCAATCCATATTTATCGTTAGTAAAAACTAGTACCTTCATTTACTCACTATTTTTACATCAAAAGTATTAAAATACATACTTATCAATAATACAAGTTTATATATCACATCCAATCAGTGTCATTACCTTGGTACCCAGGAGGTTAATGTGTACCTGTAATTAACATAAGATGACTGAAAGAAACTCTTCAACAGTATTTTTACACTCACAAAATTGATGTTTACGTGTTTGTAAATGATACAAAGTGACCACAAGAAACCACTTTTCAATAGAACCATTGGTTGGGAAAAACAGGTTGAAGGCTGTTATTAATGATGTCCAGTTAAACTGGACCCTCATTACTAACAGAGTTAGACAATTAGTGGTATTTTGCTAATGAAGTAATTGATGGCCCAAATACATTCAATTAACCAATTAGTACTGTGTTCCTCAAACCAAGCTTCTTGTGAGTAAACAAAAAAAAAGTTGGCAGCAAGTACTGCTGGACATTACCTTCCCTGTAGCAGGCAGTTCAACAACAACGAAAAAGTTGGTGATAGGTGTTATCAGCCTGTTGTTCTCTCTAGTCAGCAGATCAACAACAAAAGAAAAGGCTGGTAGTGGGTGCTGCTGGACAGTTGCCTTCTCTCTAGTCAGCAGTTCAACAACAAACAAACAAATAATGAAAAAGAAAACAGTTGGTGGCAGGAGCTACCAGCCAAATACCTTCCATCTAGTCAGCAATTCAAAATTAATCACAGTAGCCACTTTAATAACTTTTCCATAACAGACAAAAGGGGGAGCAAGTTTGGTTGCTATATTATTATTATTTGGATAGTTGGAGTAACTGAAAATTGTAATAATCAGAAACTAATTTCAATTAGTTGATTACTTTTGTAACAATAAATATAATCATTATTTCAATTAACTGACCATTAGAATAATGGAAAACAATAATATTTGAAAACACTACTTTTGATTAATCAATTTAATCATAATTTTGATTGATTAGTTTCTGTGACACTAATACTATAATTGTTGCTCACAGGTAATCATAGGCCTGTCTCAGAAGTCAGTGCTTGGGAATTTGCTTTTTCTTATTTAATTGTATTGCTTAAGGTATAATTAGTAAAGATTTCTTTGGCATTAAACTCTTGGATATTTCCAGTTGTATTGGGGATGATGATGAATTACATATTGACTTGGTGTTCAGTTGGTAAATTAAACAAATGTTTGGCAAATGTCCCTTAATTATAATAAGTGCAAAGTACTAAATTTAGATTATCATAATTTGGATCACACATTTAATATATATTCAAACACTCTCAGCAGTGTGAATAAAAAAAAGAGGATCTTGGCACTGTGGTGGATAAGTCTCTTGAAGATATCAAAGCAGTGCTCTCTTGTTAGTAGTATATCTAATGGTATGTTAAGGTTTACTTATCAACATACTGATTAAGAGTCAAAAAGAGGTAATTATGTACACAAAACACTAAGGCATCACTGGAATACTGTGTACACTTTTGGTCTCCATATCTCAAAAAAATATTGGGATAACAGGAGGACAACAAGGATGGAAGGGTTAACCAACAAAGATAATTAAGATCTCTTAAATTACATTCTTTTGGGAATAGAAGAGCAAGAGGTGATCTTATTAAAGTTTGGCTTATCTGGGGGATAAATAGGATAAGCACTTCATATTTCATTGTGGTGTACTGTAAGTAGAATTGAATGAGAGGGCTCAAGTTTAAGATTGGAGAAAAACAGGCTAGACTTCAGTTAAAATTTAAGACAGTTTTATTTATATTATACGGTGATTTACTTATGCCATAATGGATTAAGCTGCCATCAGCAGTAGTGGAGACCAGCAATGTACAAGAATATAAGAGGAGTATCAATTATTTCCTGAAAAATAGGTGATGGTTGGTTTAAATATTTACTTTTCTCCAAAAATGGGTGTGCAAGAATGGCCTTGAATGACTACATACTCCCACATTGTCTATACCTTACACCAAGAGAATTAATGGGTGATATTTACATGCATCACAACATAAGTTTTGTTGCAGTAGCTTTACTTAAAAACCCATAGGCACCAATTTGTATAAAACATTGATTTATGACAGCTACATGAGAACACAAAAGGAAAGTATTACATTTTTTGCTGGTCAACACAGTACTAACATGCAACAGTATGCACACACCTGATATAAAATCATGGTAATATCATTCAGAGCTTATATCAATAGGTGCTGGTGGTTAGGGTGCTCAACTCTCAATCTGAGGGTCACAGGTTCAAATCCCCATCCCTGAACATGCTCAATCTTTATCACTGCTAACTGGGTCAGCCACTCTGTCATAAAAATTATTGGCTTATATAAAATAGCCTCACAACTATACTGGTGGGACCAGGGTCAAAAAGAAAAAAATAATCAGTGGATGTAGCAACACATTAAAACACTGCTTTTAAATTTTATCAATTTCTACAAAAATGGAATGCACAGTGTGAAAATCTGAAGTGAAGAAAATTGACAACACAAGTAATTGACTTATGTTGGATGTGACAGCCTTGTGTATCACTTGCTTGTAGTTAAGCACAAAGCTACACAATGGGCTATCTGTGCCGTGCTCACCATGTGTAGTGAAACCTGGCTTTTAGCATACAAGTCCAAAGACTTACCACTGAGACACTGGGGGTTACCTTGTATGTTACTCTAAAAGTGATAAAGGAACTCTTAGAATCAGACCATCATATTTAACTTCACATTTTTTCCCAAACTACATACATTAACAACGACTTGAACATATATATTTTGTGCATAAGTTATCTTTAAGTTAACCTAAATCTGCCCTAATCCTAATAAGCGTAATATAACAAATTAATTCTTATAATGATGTTCCGTTAGCTTTTAACTTTTAGTTTTAAGTTAAGCTTAAAAACAAGAAAGGTGTTCACGCCACAACCCTAATATTAATAACTTAAGTTACGGGTACGCCTTAAGTTATACTACGTTATAATATGTTGACTTTTTCTTAACTGTTGTTACCAAAATTTAATAACGTACTAATAGTACTACAACCACTATGAGTAGGCCTTGAGGGGGGTAAAATTAAAAGCGCAGGACAATAGCACTACTACTAGTAGTAAGAGAAGTACCAACTGCCGTTTCCTAGTTCATCCATTTGTTTCGCCTCTATTCACTCTCTACAATTAATTTCCGCCTCAAACACATAATTAAAAAATAAAAATGGATTTGCCTGAATTATTACTTTGCATTTTAATAGCAAAATCCGTATATAAATAATAAGATAAAGTTATATCTAAACATCTAAAAGTTAAACATAAAAATAAAAGTATAATTAAAACAACCTACAACTTTTAAGTTTACACCTACAGTGCCATGTCACCTGGTGCTAAAGTAATTTTTCGAAATATAATGGTATATTTCTTTTGCTTACCATGATTATTGTGATATTATTATGATAAATAGATTAATGAATGTGGTACCTCCAAACTTCAATAAAAATATATAGTTTTGAAAGGTACTGCACTGCTTAATTCTATTTTCCATTGTTTAGTTCAGAATTTTCACGCAAATCTACATAAAGACCGCCCCAAGTTTTGAAATGATAAAGGAGAGAGAAAGCCCAATTCCCACCGCGATCTCTATAGTCTAACTGAATAAATAAATAAATAATATTCAGTCATCACATTCATAGCACAGTCACAGCCCTAAAGTACGGAGCACAATTTTCGACAAAGGGACGCAAACAATGAACTCCCGGATTTACAATCTGAGCACAACAACTTCTAGGCTATGTACAGCATCCAGTGTTTATACAGAAAATCTTTAAGTCAGTTACATGTATTTTATACCCAGTTGCTCATTTAAAAAAAAATTCAAAAACGTAAAATTAAATTGGTGGCACTCTTGGTTTCTAAAATTAACTTTTTACACGTATCAGTTCTGAAAATTGTTTACATAAATACGAGATATAACGGACACGTTTGGTTCTTGAAGAGCGTCCTGATTCACAAACCTTCTTCGCAAAAAGAAAATTAGTCATTAAATCCAGCAGTCATTATATACAAAATATTCATTTAAACTCCGGTAAAGTTGATGTCTCTGGCACTCTAGATGGCAATTTGTGCCACATATTTACCACTATATATCTAAAAAATAAAACTACTCCAACTGGTTGTGTCTGATCTTTCCAGCCCCCCCCCCCCCACACACACACCAGTGGCACAGCAGTATGTCTGCGGACATACAGGTTTCAATACCCATGGTGGGCAGAGCACAGATAGCCCATTGCTTTGCGCTTAACTTCAAACAAACCAAACTGTTCTTTCCATGTCTAAAATTTACTCACCCTTGTCCCGCTGTCCACAAAAAATAAGCATACTTTCATCTTATGAATTTCCTTAATAATTCCGGACACTTCAAATAGATCATTTTTGGCTCATCCATTATCAATAGTTTCTTTTCTTCTTGTTGTTGTTTTTTTTTTCAGAACGTTCGCGCAAAAATACACAAAGACCAATCTGCGAATAGCCATCCCAATTTAGAAATGATAGGTCATATGTAAGACAGTTAGTCAACAGAACCCACCGCCAACTTTCCTTTGATCACCATTGTAACACATTCACAACCCAAGGAGGAGAGCGCGATTTTGTGACAACAAGCCACAAACCCTCGGATGGTCTCATTCAGTTTTTCACGTTGGATGCATCAGCCAACAATATATTTTCTTCATCCATTGTGTCTACCAAGTTGAATGTGAGGTTGGCCCCTGGTGTTTTAGATATGGCAGAATATACAGAAACTTCTTCAAGGTCGCTTACATGAAGTTCTCGTCATATTCTCCTTCCATCTTAGTGCAGAAGTGCATGTGCTGAACAACACTAGGAAAATGAAAATAAGCCTAACTGGCGAACTGAAAACAATATATCCAGAAAGGTTAATAATTTGATCTTATGTATATATAAAAAAAAGTCAGAATTGAAATGTAGAGTCAACCAAATTTTGATTGGTCAAAAGCTTGGTTAATGTTGAAATAGTGTAGCTTCTGTACACTTGTGCAACAACACTCACATATATTTATTGATACATATACATTACCATATACATATATCTTAATATTACACATTGTCATATGCACTTGTAGCTGTAGGCAAACTGTCTCTGGCTCGTGTGGCATTACCATGCTAACCTGCAAAGGCCACCTCCACTAGTTGTGTCTCGGCCCTTTAAACTTAACACTTTTTCGGCATCATGAAATAATTTGTAACGACAGCGGAAGTCACGTGATCCTGATAACACGTGATGAGTTTCTAGAAGATTCACGAAGAGACGAGATGTACGCTTTTATAATATATAAGACATATATAACAATGGAATTGAATTGTAGACAGAGATAGAGACGGACAATTGAGTCAAGCGCGTGAATCGTTCGTTGTGAATTATAGCGTTTGTTGAAGTTAAACTGACTGTGGAAATTAAGTGTATTGCAAAGTTGTATTGAGAAAGAATAAACTAGTTTTATTTAAGAAAGGACTTGTATCGCTAAAGTTTCTTCGGAAAGAATTTTTACGGAAAATTAACTAACTACCAGAGACGTAACAAATTAATCACTAGTAGAATTCATCTGAACTAAGACTCTTCAGCTAAAGTAATGTTGCGTCAGCGAGGTCACGTGACTAGTATCACGCCACTTCTTTCTCAAACCTTCGTGAATTGTCGGGAGATTACTAGATTCGGGGTAGTCTGGTATATATAAGATGGTCACAACGTGACGGGATAATGTGTAGGTAATGAGTAATTGAACTGCAGCCAGAGAGTGTGTAATTGAGTATTTTCTAGCACGAGCACGTGAGACGTTCTAGCGTTTGTTATAGCGCGACTGTTGAAATTACGGGTATCGTAAAGTTGTATTCGGAAAGAATAAACCAGTTTTATTTAAGAAAGGACTTGTGTCACTAAAGTTTCGTCGGAACGAAGTTTCGTCGGAACGAAGTTT